TTTAATAGTTTTTTTTGTTTTTTTTTTTTGTTTTTTTTTGTGTTGGCATGGAATATCTTTTTCCATCCTTTCACTTTTTGTCTGTGTGTATCTTTGTTGTTGAGATGTGTTTCTTGTAGCCAGCAAATAGCTGGGTTTTGTTTTTTAATCCATTCAGCCAGTCTCTGTCTTTTAACTGGATAGTTGAGGCCATTTACATTCAAGGCGAGTATTGATAAGGAGCAACTTGGCCCTGCCATTTTCCCATAAATATTCCTGTTGTTTACTTTGGATTTCCTTTGTACTTCTACTGGGAGATTTTCTGCCTTCACCTTCTTTCATAATGCTAAGTGTGTTTCTTCTATAAGGTATTTTTTAACTGCTTAGATTCTCTTTTGTGCTTATTAAAATTCAGCCTCTGCCAAAAAATTAGCCGGTTCTGCCATGAAGGTCTGAGAAAGTTTTGTTTATTTAATGAGTGTTCTTTTTTGCAATGCTAACAAAATGTTTTTAATATAAATATGAAAATTGGGGTAAAATTCCTGTTCTTAAAAGAAATATGTTTTCCTGGTTTGAAATAGATGCCATGGCAGGGAGGCTTGATCTGTTCATGTTTCTTTGGAGTGTTCACTGATAATAAAGAGGAATCTGTCTGAAAATAGGAAGAGCATGGTGACAGCAGGGGAAGAATTAAAGTTAGACTTTTTTTTTTTGGACAGGCAGAGTTAGTGAGAGAGACAGAGAGCAAGGTCTTCCTTCCGTTGGTTCACCCCCCAAATGGCTGCTACGGCAGGCGCTGCACCGATCCGAAGCCAGAAGCCAGGTGCTTCTCCTGGTCTCCCATGTGGGTGCAGGGCCAGGTGCTTCTCCTGGTCTCCCATGTGGGTGCAGGGCCCAAGCACTTGGACCATCCTCCACTGCACTCCCGGGCCACAGCAGAGAGCTGGCCTGGAAGAGGAGCAACCGGAACACAACCGGCGCCCCGAATGTGACTAGAACCCGGGGTGCCGGCGCCACAGGCGGAATTAGCCTAGTGAGCCACGGCGCCGGCCAAAGTTAGACTTTTCTTAGCCCTAGTAAAATAAGAAAAGCAGAGTAAAATTCTGAGTACTTCTAATACTAAAGAGACTCATAACCCAGTTCTCTCCAGAAGCAGGTCTTGAAACATGGACTGTTGTTTAAATAATTTACTTGGGACATGGTCTTAAGGGACAGAAGACAGGAGTAGGGACTGGGTCAAGTGATCCAGCGAGGGAGGAAAAGATAAAGGCAGGATGTGTTATTGTGTGACCCTCTGCTTAAGGACAGGGGCTCAGTCCCCTTGAGCCACCTCTGTTGTACACCTTTGGCTGCCTGAGGGATGAAAGGAAGAAGTACTTGTGTGCTGGCTTCCGTTTTCCATCTACTGGTGGTTGTCCTGTGGTATCGTATTGTCTCTGTGCGTTCAGTGTGCATGTGCAAAAACCCAAAAGAGGTCCCTGCTTGCCTGCCAGACTGTGCTTCAGACGGCAGCAAGCAAGACTGGCTAACCGTGCCTGTTCACCCTGCTGCACCATACACCTCCGCTGGGGCGTGAGCCCGAGACCGGCTAACCGTGCCTGTTCACCCTACACCTCCGCTGGGGCGTGAGCCCGAGACCGGCTAACCGTGCCTGTTCACCCTTCACTGCACCATACACCTCCACTGGGGCGTGAGCCCGAGACCGGCTAACCGTGCCTGTTCACCCTACACCTCCGCTGGGGCGTGAGCCCGAGACCGGCTAACTGTGCCTGTTCACCCTGCTGCACCGTACACCTCCGCTGGGGCGTGAGCCCGAGATGAGGCCAAGGGATGAAAGCTCATCCAAGAGGTGTCTAATGTGGAAAAAGTGTGTGGGGTAGATAGACTAAGGGCCAAAAACATGAGAGTACTGGACTCTAAAACCAAACCAGCTTAATTTAAAATAGAGGAGCCAACCAAGAATTAGAAATATGGACTCGCAGAATTCATAAACACACTTGTTCAACAGGTACTTGTTGATTACTTTATAATGGGAGGTGCCAGCACTCAGCAAACCTAGTGGAGGAGTTGAGTCAGTGGTGGTCAGTACTGTGCTGGGGCAAGTAGAAGCAGCAGTTAGTCTACTTAGGAGGGCCCCCAGCCCAGATTTGGGTGAGGTGTGGGAGACAGGGAAAACCTCCCTGATCAGGTAGTCTGAGTTCAGACGGAAACAGGAGAGCAGAGGCCCTCCTCCAGGCAGAGAGAAGGCGATTGCAAAGAGCACAGCCAAAATACAGAGTGAGAGGAGGCCCACAGAGTTGTGTGAATCACATGAGGAGTTCAGATTTTCCTCCTGGAAGCAGTAGCAACCGCGAGCACGTTTAAGCCTGGAGGACGTCAGCGGATCTGTCACTTCACCTGCCCATCCTTGAGAAGGTTTGAGGCACGAGGCAGGTCGAGAGCGTGGATGGGAGGATTCGTCGGAGCGAAGAAGAGACCCTCTCCTCTCGGGGAGGACGAGGAAAGGCTGCGTCAGATGGACGCGCACACATGGGCGGGGCCGCCGTGAGTTGTGAGCTTTCCCATCAGGTGCCTTCCTCTGCCCATCGAAGCAGCTACTGGTGAAGAGGGAGATCTGGGCAGGTGCGCTGAGGCGCGGGGCTGAGCCAGGCCTCGTTGCGACTGTCAGGGATCTAATCAGGAAGAGGTGCTGCTGCTTCAGCCTGGCTGCTGTGGGCACAGTGTCCAGGGTCGGGACCTTGTCAGGCAAGAATTGTTAATAATATGTTAATAATAATATGTTAATAATAATATGTTAATAATTAATGAACTAAAATGGTTGATTGATTAAGGGTGGAGAATTGATCTAATGATGTTGTCTAGGAGGTGGGCCTGGTGGAAGAGCTTGTGGTCACTGGGGGCTTGGCCTTAGAATGTAGTTCTCTGGGCTGGCGCTCTGGTGTAGCAGGCACAGCCACCGCCTGTAGTGCCCGCATCCCATATGGGCTGCAGTTTGAGTCCCAGCTGTACCACTTCTGATCCAGCTCTCTGCTATGGTCTGGGAAAGCAGTGGAAGATGCCCAAGTCACTGGGGCCCTGTACCCACATGGGAGACCTGGAAGAAGCCCCTGGCTCCTGGCTTCAGATCAGCACAGCTCCAGCCGTTGCAGCCATCTGGGGAGTGAACCAGCGGATGGAAGACCTCTCTCTTTCTGCCTTTACCTCTCTCTAACTTATCTGCCTTTCAAATAAATAAATAAATCTTTAAAAAAAAAAAAAAAGTGTGGTTCTCACCAGGGAGTTGAGGACCCTCCCTTCTTCCTTGCTTGCCATGTGCTTGCCCCTCCACCATCCTCACCAGATGCTTGAGCTCATGGGACTGCCCAGTCTTGTACCCTGAACCTCCCAAACTGCAAGCTAAGAATTAGCAGTCTCTGTGAGAATGAGGGTGGTGGGGTCATTGCAGCAACTGTAAGCACAGGAAATGATGCTCAGAAAGAGTGTCTAATTTTTCTGCTTCAGAATTACATCAAAGTGTGGCTTTGGGATTGAGAAGCTCACGGAATTGAGGTGAAAGTCACTAGGAAGACTGTAAAACAGCCACATTGTGTAATAGAAAATGGATATGTCTGAGAGGTTTTCATTTCTTGGAGCTGTGTATATTTAAGGATGGTAGGTGCTGTCCTAAATGAAGATCTGTTTCTCTTACCAGATAACTAACGCTGCCAACCCCAGGGAACAGAAAAGAAAGTTAGAATGAAGTGCCTCACCTCCTCTGCTTCATTATACCACAGACAAGAAATAGAATACACCTTTTTACAAAAGATCTCTTCATTTCAAAGACAAAATTACCTAGAGAAAGGGAGAGACAGACACAGATCTTCATCTGCTGGTTCACTCCCTGAATAACCTCAAAAACAGCTGGGGCTGGGCCAGGCCGAAGCCAGGAGCTTCATCTTGGTCTCGCACTTGGATGGAGGTGCTCAAGTACTTGAGCCATCTTTGTTTGCTTCCCAACGTGCGTTAGCAGGGAGCTAGGTCAGAAATGGAGTATCCAGGTCTTGAACCGGCACCCATATGGGATGCTGATGTTGCAGGCAGCAGCTTAACCCCCTGTGCCTCAATGCTGGCCCCAATAGAATATACTTTTTAAAGAAAACAGATAATTTTGGATTGATGATATCCTTGAAGGATCCATCTTAGTTTTTTAAAACAGGACACACATTTTCTTTTTCTTTTAAGGTCTATTTGTTTTAAAGGCAAAGTTAGAGGGAGAAACACAAAGAGTCCTCCAGTGGCCGCAATGGATGGGGCAAGGTTAAGTCAAAGCCATGACCCTGGAATTCCAGCTGGGACTCCTATATGGGTGGCAGAGGCCGAAGTACTTTGGACATCTTCTGTTACTTTCTCGGAGCATTTACAGGGAGCCGGATTGGAAGTTGAGCAGCTGGGACTGGAACCAGTACTCATATGGGATGCCAGTTTCACACACTGTGGCTTAGTCGTCTGCACCACAATGCCACCCCCTGTAGGGTGACGTTCAGGTATTGGTATAGGTCCCAGCTGCTCCACTTCTGATCCAGCTCCCTGCTAATGGCCTGGGAAAAGCAGCAGAGGATGCCCCAAGTGCTTGGGCCCCTGCCACTCGGGAAAACAGATGAAGCTCCCCGCTTTGGGACTGGGCCAGGCTATTGCAGTCATTTAGGGAGTGAACCAGCAGATGGAAGGTCCCTGTCTCTCCCTCCCTCTGTAACTCTGCCTATCAAATGAATAAGTAAAATCTTTCAAAAATTTTAAAATGAATTTTTAGAATTATTTTACTCTAAATGAACAGTATTTGTGTGTCTTAGGGACAATTTAAATAGATAAATTTTGTTCTCATTTCTTTTTTGTTCACTCGTCAGTTTGCACAGGTATTTTCTTTGATGAGACAGCAGCAGAGAAGTTCAATACAGTATTCTGGACCTTGATGTCAAGAACTCCGAGTTCTAGTTTCACATTTAGATCTAAGCTGAAGAATAAAGTTTCCGTCTTTTCCACAGAGTCCTTGTGAAGCGGGTGACAGTTGCCTGAGAAAGCGTGCTGTGAGGTGCTCTGTAGCGCTCTGTGGTAACCATCGCAGTTTGAACTGCTTGTCAGCATTTTCCTTACCTGCCATGTGTACTGACCTTACAGATCCAAAGCCAAGTGTTGCTCCCATGGTAGCTTTGATCTTCATTGTGAATTAATGCCATGAAATTTTTCAAACCTCTGAATTAAACAAAATTTTACTGAACATTACCTAATATTCTGAACTTAACGTTTGCAAGTAAAATTAAAAGATGCCAGGAGAAGGGGGCTTGGTATTGTGATAATACTCAGTATAATTAAGTATATTTAAACTGGTTTATTAAATTTGTATAATCCCCACCATTTAATGAGTTTTAAAAAGTTGCCAGCACTACAGTGATTATAAATTGAACTGTGTTTTTAATGTCTCTTTCTAAAGACATTTTGTTGTTAAATCCATTATTGTGAATCATTTGGTGAAAAAAAAAATGTCTCTTTTGCAATGTTTAATCAGCCACTATGTTACATTGTAATTTTTTTAAAGATTTATTTGAAAGCAGTTATACAGAGAGAGAAGGTGAGGCAGAGAGAGAGAGAGGTCTTCCATCCACTGGTTCATTTCCTAGATGGCCACAATGGCTGGAGCTACGCTGATCCAAAGGCAGGAGCCAGTAGCTTCCGCTGAGTCTCCCACACAGGTGCAGGAGCCCAAGGACTCAGGACATCTTCCACTGCCCTCCCAGGCCATGGCAGAGAGCTGGGTCGGAAGTGGAACAACTGGGACTCAAACCGGCATCCATATGGGATACTGGCACTGCAGGCGGCAGCTTTACCCACTATGCCACAGCGCCAGCCCCAACATTGCCTTTTTTTTTTTTTAAGATTTATTTATTTATTTGAAAGAGACAAAAATCCTCTACCTGCTGGTGCACTCCCCAAATGGATGCAGTGGCTGGAGCTGGGCCAGACTAAAGCCAGGAGCTTCTTCCAGGTCTCCCACAAGGGTGCAGAGGCCCACCGACTTGGGCCATCTTCTGCCACTTTCCCAGGCACATTAGCAAGGAGCTGGATCAGAAATGGAGCCAAACTGGCACCATATGGAATGCTGGCATCACAGGTAGCAGCTTTACCCGCTGTGCCCCAGTGCCGGCCTCCTTGCTACTTTGTGATTTGCCAGTGGTACTACCATGTGCTTTTGGAGCACAGCCTTGGTGTTAAACTACAAACTACAGCAATTTATTTTGTAACTATATTTTTGAAATTATTTTGAAAATAGTTTTAAAACTTTTTTTTTTTTTTTTTTTGACGGGCAGAGTTAGAGAGACAGAGAGAAAGGTCTTCCTTCCATTGTTAGTTCACCCCCCAAATAGCTACCACAGCTGGCGTGCTGGGCCAGTCTGAAGCCAGGAAGGAGCCAGGTGCTTCCTCCTGGTCTCCCATGGGGTGCAGGGCCCAAGCACTTGGGCCATCCTCCACTGCCTTCCCAGGCCACAGCAGAGAGCTGGACTGGAAGAGGGGCAACTGGGACAGAATCCGGTGCCCTGACCGGGACTAGAACCTGGGGTACCGGTGCCTCAGGCAGAGGATTAGCCTAGTGAGCCTTGGCGCCGGCCTAGTTTTAAAACTTTTTAAGGAGGATGTAGTATGCACACATGAGAAACAGTGCTTTGTCACATTATGTTATTTTTAGTCACAATGTCATTTTTTTAAAAGATTTATTTCATTTATTTGAAAGAGTTACAGAAAGAGAGGTCTTCCATCCGCTGGTTCACTCCCTAGATGGCCACAACAGCTGGAGCTGTGCCGATCCAAAGTTAGGAGCTTCTTCTGGGTCTCCCACTTGGGTGTAGGGGCCCAAGGACTTGGGCCATCTTCTACTGCTTTCCCAAGCCATAGCAGAGAGCTAGATCGGAAGTGGAGCAGCTGGGATTCGAACTCGTGCCCATATGGTATGCCAGCGCTTCAGGTCAGGGCTTTAACCCACGGTGCCATAGCACTGGCCTTCATTTTGTTTTCAAAATACATGAAATGAATAGTAGAGATTTTTTTAAAATATGTTACAAAAATCTGTTTGGATTGAAAGGACTGAATGGCCCTGCCATACGAAGCCCAAGGTCTGCAGTTCCGTGCTGCTGCTGTTTATGAAGCAGCCCATGGCTTAGGAAGACGCGCTGGGATGGATGAAGGGGACAGGCGCACGGTGTCCGTGTGTCAGTCCCTCAGGACTGATGTGGGGCACAGGGCGGAGTCCTAGGACTGGCCTGGAACAAAGCACAGTTTCCCTTATTACTGTCCTGCTATTCTCTGTATCGATGACCAAGCTTTGCCCTATCGACTCGGTTGCTGGTTGCCTTCTTTAATGACATGGAAGGAGTTTTAATGTTCTTATAGGAGTGCCCTCGTGCCCCCTACACCTTTTTGTTGTTAAAAACATGTTGCTTTGCAACAGCACGGCAAGTGCAGTGTAATGCAGTGCAATGAACTGAAAACAGAAGCCGAGGGCGTCGGGCGACGGGGAAGCATTTGAAATCAGCCTGCATCAGTGGACTTCAGGAGCACACGGGGGTAACAGAAGCACTGGCGAAGCTCTGCGGGGTCTGCTGGCACTGCGAGCAGGGTGGGCGCCCTCACCCGGACTGCAGCACAGTGTCCAGCCGTCCAGACTTCTTCCAGCCGTCCAGACTTCTTCCTCTGCTGTCCTCAGAGCAAGAGGACAATGCGCGGGAAGACAGAGGGCAAGACCAGCTCTCTGGTTAGTATGAGTCTGTCTGTTACCCTGCAGAGAGGGCTTTGCCTTGAATAAGTAGATGGAATGTTCCATAAGCACCCGGAGACGGCAGAATCAACTCTGTTAACTGTGTGTGTGAGGCTGGGGACTGGCAGCCAGCAAGTTCTCGAGCAGCTCCACAGCAGTTGTAGTTCTCGGCTGTCCAGGAGCATCTGTGAGTTCTTGTCAAGCAGTTGACTTTGATGTGATTTACTACTGAATTAGAGTCCAAATTCCTCCCCAAACAAGGCGTCAGCTGAGTTTTACCAGCTACGGAAAGACCTGGAGCACAGGTTTGGAGCTTGGTGCGTCTGCCTCTGTCCCTGGATCCTCGCCCCTGCAGAACCAGCGTCGGCCAGCGCAGGGTGGGCGGCCTGAGACGGCCTCTGGTGGGCTGTTTCCATTAGGTCTTGTTGTAGCTGATTAATAGGAGTCTTATGGAGATTTCAGGTAATACAGTTCATCAAAAAATGGATCGACAGAGCAGAATTTAAAGCTATTCAGCTTGATGAATTTCAGCATTTATAGTAAATTCAGAAAGAAAGGAAAATAATCCAAGGGTGATTTGAGAATTTGGACAGTAACAAACAGATGGCTCTAATGAACAAGAAAGCTGATGAAAGCTGGTAGTCGGCTGTAGGATGTCAGCCGTCTCTGAAGAACAGGAGACTCAGGTAGTCACCATGAACCGCAGACATTGTATGGCTGCTTGGCCCTGTGTCACACGCGTCTGCATGTCCTGCCTGTGTAGGAAACAGTGTCTGGGCACCAGGAGTACAAGAAGTACCAAGTCCTTTGGCTGCCTCAAGGAGTTTACTGTCAGGTTTGGAAAACTGTCCGTATATAACAGGATAAAGAGCAGCCAGGGTCATCTTACAAACAGCAGGGGTTTTCTGCATTAAAAACAACACTTTGATTTGTCTCGAGTTACGTTTGTTTATTTAAAAGGCAGAGTGACAGGGAGAGGGATACAGGGAGGGGTCGTGATACCTTCCATCCGCTTGTTCACTCCTCAAATGTCCTCAATGGTGAGGACTGGGTCAGGCCGAAGCCAGGAGGTCGGAACTCCATTTGGGTCTCTCCCACATGGGTGGCAGGGATTCAAATACTTGAGCCATCAGTTTTCTGCCTCGCAGGTGTATTAGCAGGGAGCTAGATCAAAAGTTGAGGTGGGACTTGATCCCAGGCACTCCAGCATGGGATGTAGGAGTCCCGAGTGGCATCTTGACTCACTATGCCTCAATACCTGCCCTTGTACCACTTTTAAGTTGCCATAATTAAAGTACAAGAAACTACATTATCAGTGATGGATTTTATTGAAATAAAATTGCTGGGATATTAAACTGCATTTTTCTAAATGATGTTGACCAAAATGTGTAAAATGAACACTGAGTATATTTTCTTTGTTGCTAATCTTTCTCAAGTATTGAGCTGTTTTGCTGATTCCATTTTAATCTTTTCTTTTTAGAGATTTATTTATTTATTTGAATGGCAGAGTTACATAGAGAAGGAGAGGCAGAGAGAGGGGTCTTCCGTCCGCTGGTTCACTCCCCAGTTGGCCGCAATGGCTGGAGCTGCGCCAATCCAAAGCCAGGAGCCAAGAGCTTCTTCCGGGTCTCCCACACGGGTGTAGGAAACCTAAGGACTTGGGCCATCTCTCACTGTTTTCCCAAGCCATAGCAGAGAGCTGGATCAGAAGTGGAGCAGCAGGGACTCAAACCGGCACCCATATGGGATGTCGGCCCCCACTGTAGTCTTTAAATTGTAAGAGCAGATAAAAATAATGGAACTCTACAATCTGCATTTTTTAAAAAAGGTCTCAAGAGTGACATTTTCTTTAATTTGTTTGCATAAATGACCTTGGAAACATTAACTCCATTCATTTCCTTTGTACTCTTTTTTTTTTTTTGAAAGGCAGAGTGGACAGTGAGAGAGAGAGAAAGGTCTTACTTTGCCGTTGGTTCACCCTCCAATGGCCGCCTCGGCTGGCGCACCACACTGATCCGAAGGTAGGAGCCAGGTACTTCTCCTGGTCTCCCATGGGGTGCAGGGCCCAAGTACTTGGGTCATCCTCCACTGCACTCCCTGGCCACAGCAGAGAGTTGGCCTGGAAGAGTGGCAACCGGGACAGAATCCGGCGCCCCAACCGGGGCTAGAACCCGGTGTGTTGGCGCCGCAAGGTGGAGGATTAGCCTAGTGAGCCGCGGCACCAGCCACCTTTGTACTCTTATCTGGGATTAAAATAAAGCCTGAAACATGTTTTGGTTTTGCTTGTGAAAAGCTTTAGGATCCTAGCATAAACTGGACTACGGCTGGTGCATCTAGAATTGGAAGAGCAGGCCCCTACTTACCTGGCTTCCTAGCTGAGCATACCTGTGTGTGTTGTAGACATGATTCTGTAATTTAATCCAACATCAGAAAATCACTATTACAGTAGAGATGGGATGTTGCATGTAGCTTTGACTTGATTTATTTCAGTTTTTTGTGATGTTTTTTGAGGGAATCCTAATTTGGTGTTTTGATTTTTTTCTTCATTTTCTTTTTTTCCCTGAAAAACCTTGGTTCCAGTTGCTACTGTTAAATTTTTTTTTAATTAAAAATTTTTTTTTTCAGACTTACTACTTAAGTAGTGTTTTGACTTGAAGACTCGGATGTTTTGTGTACAAGATACTCTAAGACAGTGAATGTGTAAAGTCCGTCTCAGTTTTAAGGTGGCTGCCATTCATGATGGATAATGGAGGGTCCTAGTAAGATTCTTCTTTTCCATTAAGGAAGTATCTTATAAATCCCCTGCTTACCTTGAATAATGAAGTAATAGAAATAAAGCATGTGCTATATTTTGTTTTTTGTTTTTTGACAGGCAGAGTGGATAGTGTGAGAGAGAGACAGAGAGAAAGGTCTTCCTTTGCCATTGGTTCACCCTCCAATGGCTGGCGCGCTGCAGCCGGTGCACCACGCCGATCCGAAGGCAGGAGCCAGGTGCTTCTCCTGGTCTCCCATGGGGTGCAGGGCCCAAGCACTTGGGTCATCCTCCACTGCACTCCCTGGCCACAGCAGAGAGCTGGCCTGGAAGGGGGGCAACTGGGACAGAATCCGGCGCCCCGACTGGGACTAGAACCCGGTGTGCCGGCGCCGCAAGGCAGAGGATTAGCCTAGTGAGCCGCGGCGCCAGCGCATGTGCTATATTAATGTCTATGTGTTGTTGTTAGTGTACTGAAATACAATTGATCATTTGTAGTTAGTTTTTTTTTTTTTTTTTTATCCAAATGTGTTTATTGGGAGGTTTCCCACTCACCTTGATTCCGGGTGCTTTTAGTGCTGCTTCCTCATGAAGGAACATCCTTCTGCAAGCCTTGCTTTTCCTCACGTAGGCTGGCAGAGGACTGCTGTTTGTGCATGGCTGAAAACCGTGGTGGGTTACAGCATCCTGGGCACTTCGCATCCGTGAAGTAGGAATCGGGGCTCTGCACCAGGCGCCGCATCTTGTGTTTCCTCTTCTCTTCTGGGGAGGGATGGAGGAGACCCTTTGTGAGAGGCATGTTTGCGTGGGCAGGTGGTCACCGCCGGAAAGGCTGCAGTTAGTGTTCATCGCAGTAAATGATATGTAACAGTTTACCTTTGTACGCCTGTTCAGGCATGCAGCTCAGTCACTACATTCACATTGTGCACCCTCTCCAGCTTTTTCATCTTGCGGACTGGAACTTTGTGCTCATTAAATAGTTGCTCCTGATTGATTCTTCCCTCCAGCCACAACTCTGCATTCTGTCTGTGAATCTGTCTGTTCTAAGTGTCTCAGATAAGTAGTATCTTACACTGTTTGTCCTTTTATGAACAACTTACTTCTCTTAGCATAGTGTCTTTAAGGATTCATCCATGTTGTAAAATGTTAGAATTTCCCTCCATTTAAATACTGTATATATAAATAGCATAACCCACATCCAAAGGGAGTATGTTGCAAAACCCCTAATGGATGTCTGAAACCATGGGTAGTACTGAATTCCATAATTTTTTCCTAACCATACATATATATCATAAAATTTAATCTATAAATCAACCAATGTAAAATATTAACAATGACTAAGAGCAATTATAATGATACTTTTAATTAAAGTTATGTGCAGATCCTCTCTCACAATATCTGAAGGTCCCATACCTACCCTTCTTATGATGTGAGATGATGCAGCGTACGTCTGATACAATGAAGTAAGGTGAATGATGGAGACATTGCGACATAGCGTTAGGCTACTACCTAAGGGTTCCCTGAACACCAACACTGCTCTACCACAACAGCCAATCTGGTAACCAAGACTCAACTAAGGGACTGATGATTGGGTATTATGTACAGCATGGATACGGTGGACGAAGGATGATTCACATTCTGGATGGAAGAGGATGGGACAGAGCATAATGGCACAAGACTTCATCATGTACAGAAAGAAACTGCAGATGGGGGGGCTACTGCGTGTATAAGCAGCATTTCCCTTATCCGTTCATCGCGGGTGGACACTTGAGTTGCTTCCACCTCTTGGCCCTTGTGAATAACGCTGCTATGAACATGGTATACAATACCTGTTTGAATCCCTGCTTTCAGTTCTTCTGTGTATGTGCACAGAAGTGGAATTCCTGAGTCACGTGAAAATTCTGTTTTTAGTTTTTGAAAGAACAGCCATATTGCTTTTTACCAGTAGTGTGCAAGGATTCCGTTTTCTCTACCTAGTCCTTCTAATCAATGTGAAGTCACTCATGACTTTGATTTGCATTCCCTGAATGATGAGTAATTTTGAGCATATTTTCATGTGCTTATTGTCCATTTCTGTGTCTTTGGAGAAGAAATCTAAGAGTTTATTCTATAATCTGGATATTAATCCTGTATCAGATTTGTGATTTGCGGTACCTCCGATATAGGATCCTGGGTATTCACCCCTAGTCCTCACAGGATTTGATTTTCTGCCTGGAAGATGATGTCATCTGGAAATAGCAGTTCGATTTTTTTTTTATGCCTGGCCTATATTTCTTTTACTTCCTTTTCTTAGCTTATTGCACTATTTTGAATGAAAATGGTGAGAAGAAACGTCCTTGCTTTTTTTTTCTTCCTAGGGGAAAGGCATTTAGTCTCTCACCGTATTAGCTATTGGGCATTTTAAAGATGTTCTTTATCAAGTAAAGGAAGTTCCTTTCTATTTCTCATTTTCTGAGAGTTCTTTGTTTAAGAAAGGAGAGACAGAGAGCTCTCCCATCCGTTGGTTCACTCCCCAGACAGCTGTACCAGCCAGCACTGGGTCTGGCTGAAGCCAGGAACTAAGCTCTGTGTAGGTCTCCACGTGGTGGTAAGAACTCAAGTTGCTGTCACGTACTGACTTCCCAGGTGCATCAGTAGGAGCAGCCCAGACTCCAGCAGGCGCTCCGATACAGGATGCCACTGCTGCAAGCAAGGCTTCTCCCATGGCGCCAGAGTGGCTGCCCCCTGATTTGTGTGTTTGTGTTTTTTTTTTAAATCATGAATGGTTGTTGAAATATTGTTCGGTGTATTTTCTTTTTTTTTTTTTATTTTTTATTTTTTTGACAGGCAGAGTGGACAGTGAGAGAGAGAGACAGAGAGAAAGGTCTTCCTTTGCCGTTGGTTCACCCTCCAATGGCCGCCGCAGCCGGCGCGCTGCGGCCGGCGCACCGCGCTGATCCGATGGCAGGAGCCAGGAGCCAGGTGCTTTTCCTGGTCTCCCATGGGGTGCAGGGCCCAAGCACCTGGGCCATCCTCCACTGCACTCCCTGGCCACAGCAGAGGGCTGGCCTGGAAGAGTGGCAACCGGGACAGAATCCGGCGCCCCAACCGGGACTAGAACCCGGTGTGCCGGCGCCGCAAGGCGGAGGATTAGCCTAGTGAGCCACGGCGCCGGCCTGTTCGGTGTATTTTCTTTATCAGTTGAGGAGAACATGAAATTTTATTCTTTATAAAGTGATATAGATAACATTGATTGTTTTTAAATATTGATTGTTAGTTTTTACATAAATATTCACCAGGAGACATTGGGTTTTACTATTTTTTGTATCATGTTTATCTAGTTTGGATTCCGTCTTTTATTTTCTGAAAGGAATTGTGTAGAATTGGCGTGGAGGCTTGAATGTTAGAATTCTCCAGTGAAGCGGCTGGCATTGTGGCTCAGTGGTTAAGCCACTGCCTGTGATGCCAGCATCCTATTTGAACCCTGATTCGAGTCCCGACTTCTCTACGACTGAACCAGCTCCCTGCTAATGCACCTAGGAAAGCAGCAGATGAGCCAAGTCCTTGGGTCCCTGCACCCACGTGGGAGACCTGGGTGGAGCTCCAGGCTTCTGGTTTCGGCCCGGCCAGCCCTGGCTGCCTCAGCCATTTGGGGAGTGAACCAGCAGATGGAAGAGCTCTCCGTCTCTCCCTCTCAGTAATTCTGCCTTTCAAATAAATAAATAGATGTTTAAAATTTTTTTCTAGTGAAGAGAGTCTGGGCCTGGAGATTTCTATTTTTAGAAGACTTTTAATTATCAGCTCAATTTCTTCCCTAGAAAGGGCTTTTTACATTATCTGTCTCCTGTAGAATTACCGCAGATTTGTGTTTTTCAAGGTTGCTGTCTAAAGGTTTTCTTTTTTACCAGGGTCTCTTTCCTGAGGCCAGCCTTCCTGAGGACTCCGGGTCTGTGTGTTGGCTTCCCAGGGTGTCCAGCCTCTCCTCCATTCCTTCAGGAATCACGAGGCAGGAAGAAGAGCCAGGGAGTTGACCACTGTGTTACTTCCTGGGTCTCGGAGTCGCTGGCCGGGCTGCCCTCTGGGCCTGGTTAGTTTGTGATAAGGAACTGCAGGGTTTGTTGTGGGCTTGTGGTAGTAATGGAGGAGGCTCATGAGCCTCCTCCTGCTTTCCTTCCTGCGGGCAGAAACTTCCCCCCCTTCCTAGAGCTACTTAAAAAAACATTGCAAGAATTGACTTTTACTAGTTGGTAGTATGTAAACCGTCACTGTTTCAACTGCGCACGACCGCTGTGCCATGAAGAATATTAAACACATTACAAGGAGTCAATATGTGATAAGTAAGTAATTGAGAAAACCTAAAGTTAATTTACTATCCGGTAAAAATCAGACCCTATAAAATCTGATCCACTGTTACAAAAGTCTTCCTTGGTACCACTGTAATATTATTTACTATAGGAACTATCAGAGACATTATAGCAGTCAGTTTTGGGTTTATAAATTCAGAAAAGAAAACCAAGTTTTGAAAGAGTAAAGTGTCATAAAAACACAACCTTTCAGTGATACTGCACGGCAGTCCTTACTCCTAAGGTTTTGATATTTAATGAACCAGTAATATCTGCCTTTTCCTTTCTCTTTTTCTAACCAGTTTTTTCATCTATTAATTTTTTAGTCTCCATAGATTCACTTCGTCGAATTACAAGCTAATTGGAAGTTTGCTAGCTTCTAACACAAAAACTGTGAATCAGAGCACTATTGCATTAAGATCAGAACGCGAGCTGAGGTTAGTTCGCTTGCTCTTAGTTGTATAGTTAGTTGAGTGTCACTCTCTAATGGGAGGCCTGAGTGGGAGCAGCAGTGAAGAATGGCCTCGCAGAGGTGCTAGAGGAAGGTTTCCTGCTGGGCTTGATCTTAGAGCATTATTGCTTTTATTTAATTTTTAAATTAATTTATTTGAAAGGCAGGGTGGCAGAGATAAATCTTCCGTCTGCTGGTTCACTCTCTAAATACCCACAACAGTCAGGGCTGGGCAAGGCTGAAGCCAGGAGCCTAGAACTCCTTCCTGGCACTTGGGCCATCTTCCACTGTTTCCCAGGCCCATTAGCAGGGAGCTGGATTGAAGTAGAGCAGCCGGGACTTGAAACAGTGTTCCGTCCCCCAGTCTGGATGAGTAGAGGTTAGAGGCCACTGGTTGGTCTGGAGGCCTCCCTGCTTCCAGGGCCCCCTGAAGGTCATTGCAAAGGAACCTATCCCGAGTGGAGCATTGTTTTTAAAACTAAGTGGCAACGACTTGTTAACATACAATATGCCCTCCCAGTCATGTTTGTTTAAGATTTCTGTGTGTGTGCATACGTAATGTGGGTTTTCCCTCATCATCATCTGAAGGCCTCCCTCCCAGGTATTCTGAGGGTTCTGCAGCGTTTCCTGAGCATGAGCAGTTTTTGTTTTGTTGAAGCTCCCGGTGATCCCGAAGTCCTGGCAAGGCCATCAGTTGCTGCAGCTAGAATTGAGCTTACCTCATTTGATGCCCGTTTTGTTCAAGTGTCTGGCAGAAGGATTTTTTCAGCTGCCTCTTAGCTTCATCCATTTGTACTGAAGGGAAGATACGGCCTCAGAGGGGACTTCTCGTGGAGAGGCAGGCAGGTCCAGGCTGGGCCAGCCTGCCTAGGGGACTTGGCATGTGGAGAAGCTCCGTCCTCTGTTTGCAGCAGGAAGTGAGCCAGAGCACACAGCGGGCAGTGCCCAGTGACTACGCTGCCCTTTGTGCACAGCTGTGGCCCACAGCAGTAAATGGTAAAGGCACAGGAGCGAGCATTCTCTTTAAACAAAGGCCTGGTGCCAGAGTGGGGACTCTGGGTGTTCTGGAAACAGGAGCACTGCTTTGGCTGGGGTCAGCAGTGATAACAGCCACTGCTATCTTTAGCACACAACTCACGCCGGACATTTAGATTCTCCAACCCTTTCAGCTCTGCCGACAGCTGTTTTTTGTTGAAAAATGCTTTAGTAGAAACAACACGTGGCCGGCACCGCGGCTCACTAGGCTAATCCTCAACCTAACAGCGCCGGTACCCCAGGTTCTAGTCCCGGTCAGGGCGCCGGATTCTGTCCCGGTTGCCCCTCTTCCAGGCCAGCCCTCTGCTGTGGCCAGGGAGTGCAGTGGAGGATGGCCCAAGTCCTTGGGCCCTGCACCCCATGGGAGACCAGGAGAAGCACCTGGCTCCTGGCTTCGGATCAGCGCGGTACGCCAGCAGCAGCACACCAGCCTTGGTGGCCATTGGAGGGTGAACCAACGGCAAAGGAAGACCTTTCTCTCTGTCTCTCTCTCTCACTATCCACTTTGCCTGTCAAAAAAGAAAAAGAAAAAAAAAACACGTGATCGATTCTGTGCTTGCTGTAAGAAATCCACTGTGGAAAGTGGAAATCCGACAGCACTTGGTGGGCACTCGCGTGTGGCGCACGTCAGTGCCCTTGCCCTGCAGAGGAGGCTGCTGGGCCTTTTCCTGTGCATCTCTTAGGGTTAATTTTAATTACCTCGTTTACAACATATAACTTGTGTCAATATGTGAATTCAATTATACTAAAATATTCTGTGGCTTGTTTTTTATTATAAAATTGGGTTATCTTGAAAATCATTCCCTATTATTGTATGAAGAATTAGCTCTTTTTAAAATAACCTATATTTTAGAATAGTGGAGACTTAGAGGAAAGCTGCAAAGGGAGCAGTGTGTGACCTCATGCGCCCGGCAGCCAGTCTCCCATTGTCAGTGGTGTGTGCTGTCTTCATTCTTCTCCAGTAGACTTGATGGTTATAGGTTTGCAGAAGGTACAGAGAGCTTCCGCGGCTGTCCGTCATCCTGCTTCCAGCCTCCCCTTTCCTTAAGGTCTTGGTAAGCCAGTATTGTGATCCATTGCTCCTCCCTAGAACTCACGGTTCATATTAGGGTACATCCTGTGGGTCTGGGCACGTGGAGTTGCACATATAGTAGAGAGCAGTTTCCCTATAAAGGTCTGGTGTTCCATGCACTTACCCTCCCTCCGTTCACCCTAACCCCTGCAGTCACTGATCCTTTTACTGTCTACACAGTTTTGCCTTTTTCTGAATGGCTTCTTGAACTTAGCAATGTGTGTTTAAGGTTCGTCCATGTCATTGTGTCTTTTTGTGACTTTTCACTCCTGCATGATGGTCATTATAGGAGGTACTGTACTCTATCTGTGCACCTAGTGAAGGGCACGTTGTCAGTTGTGAATAAAGCTGCTGTAAACATTTGTTTGTAGGGTTTTTTTGTGTGTGTGTCAATATAAGCTTTCTTTTCACTTAATGCAGTCCTGCACCACATATGCATGTTTCCATCAACGAATAGAAGACAGTGGTCCCATAGGGTTATAGTGGAGCTGAAAATTCCTTTGGCCTAGAGGTCTTGTAGCCGTCCTCGCAGTGTGACACATCACTCACGTGACTGTGGTGATGCTCATGTCAGCAAACCTGTGCTGCCAGTTGTTTAAAAGCGTAACACATTCAATTATGTACCATGCAGTACACAGTTCTCAGTAATGACAATAAGTGTTCTAGCTTATGTATTTACTGTGTCATACATTTTATCATTATCTTAGTGTGCATTCCTTCTATTTATTCAAAAATAAAGTTGTTGGTAAAACTGAGCCCCGTGTTGCTGGCAGCAGCCTATACATCACACACTTAATTCCGTCTCCTGATCACACGATTTTCTTTAAAAAAAAAAAAAAAGATTTATTTATTTTTACTTGAAAGAATTACACAGAGAAGGAGAGGCAGAGAGAGAGATATCTTTCATTCGCTGGTTCACTCCCCAGTTGGTAGCAACGGCCGGAGCTGCACTGATCCAAAGCTAGGAGCCAGGAGTTCTCCTGGGTCTCCCACGCAGGTGCAGGGTCCCAAGGACTTGGGCCATCTTCTGCTGCTTTCCCAAGCCATAGCAGAGAGCTGGATTGGAAGTGGAGCAGCCGGGACTCAAACCAGCACCCATATAGGATGCAGGCTATGCAGGCGGCAGCTTTACGTGCTACACCACAGTGCCAGCCCCACACCATTTTCTCTTGTGCTTGATTTAATCTTGTGTTGGTTTGTTCAGCGTGGCCCTAGATGCAATATGGCTGTACCACGTACATATAGTTCCACAGAGCCTGGGCGTGTAATAGGCTATAACATCAAGGTTTATGTAACTACACACTATGATGCCCGTATAATGACAGAGTCTCCTGAGACACACTTCTCAGAGTGGATCACCATTGCTAAATGACATATGACTGTACCAAGAAGTGCAATTGATAGACCATTAGTATGATCTTTTGTTTAATGATTGTATATTATGACTTATTGTTGATAATAAGTCTACTCTCCATGTTGGTAGATAGTTGAATTTTCCTTTTTTTTTTTTTTTTGCTATTACAAACAATACTGTAACATACTTTTTGTTTTTGGTTTTTTGTTTTTGACAGGCAGAATTAGACAGAGAGACAGAGAGGAAGGTCTTCCTTCCATTGGTTTACCCCCTAAATGGCCACCACGGCCGGCGCGCTGTGCTGTTCCAAAGCCAGGAGCCAGGTGCTTCCTCCTGGTCTCCCATGCAGGTGCAGGGCTCAAGCACTTGGGCCATCCTCCACTGCCTTCCCAGGCCACAGCAGAGAGCTGGACTGGAAGAGGAACAACCGGGACAGAACCAGCGCCCCAACCAGGACTAGAACCCAGACAGGATTAGCCTAGTGAGCTGTGGCACCGGCCAACTGTAACATACTTTTACATATTCATCGTTTTGGCATATGATAATATTTCTGTAGGACGCATTCCTGAAAGTACAAGAATCAAAATACTGTAAATTTGCCTCTGAAAAGCAAATTGTACAGTGTAGTATCCTATCCTTAGCCTCACATAGTCTTGTGTCTTCTCCTGGGACTCGGGAGAGAAGTCTAGGCCAGACCTCAAGATTTGGAGGTCAGACTTAAAGATGGTGATTGAATCCACGGCTGTAGATGACATTTCCTATGATGAAGGAGAGCAATCAGAGGATGACGCAGAACAGAGCCCTGTGTAACTCTTAACACTTAATGGTCAGGAAAAACAGAGAGAAGTCAACAAATGGAAAAGGATTGCCTAGAGGTGAGAGGGAAACATGAATAATGGTGTCAGGAAAGCCAAAAGCAGCCTGGATTTCAAGGAGCAGGAAGTGGTCCTCCGAGTTTAAATTTTGCTTTGGGTGGTGAAGACTAAAGGTACCCATTGTATTCAAGAACAAGGAGACCCTCTGACCTTAGTGAATACAGAGAAAGTGACTGGGCCAAGATACACAGAGAAATAGATTGTAGAGTGAGTGGGAGGTGAGGAAATGGCCCTTAAATAAATAATACTATTAATAAAGGAAAGAAAAGTAGAGCCAGCTAACTGGGGCCAGGAGCCACAGAAGTTGGTTCACTTGTGCCAGATTGCAGAGTTTTCAACGTTTCTCAATGTGAAAAGACAATAGTAGGGGAAAATTGATTACAGGAGACAGTAGGTTTGGAGCCAAAAATGGGGAAGAAGGTCGATTTCAGGGGCCTCTGGCAGCAAAAGGGAAAGAGGAGGCACTGGAGGGGTGTGGGGCAGTTGGAGAGCGGGTCTGCAGAGATGGGTGCACTTCTCCCAGCACCCGCTTCAGTCTCCGTGGGAAGCCAGTGCCACTGCAAGGAGAGTAAGTTTGTCTTTGCCGCACAAGTTACTACTGGAGCTTCTAACCTGCTGTTGTGCTCCCCGAAATTCTCAGTGGTATTGCTGCTTTAAGATACTTTTGGACTCTATACCTTCCTTCTCTTGGAAGCAATCAAATATCAACCCAGTGCTGAATTCACTCTTTGGAAATTAGCACTGTAACTCTCTTTCATTGTAAATGGGCATTTGGCTTTGTGACCCAAAGAGATTATGTTATCAGTTTACATCATGATAATAGCTTTTGTGACCTGTCAAATAATGTAGAATGTAAAGCTATTTATTTAAAACAAAAAGAAAAAAAATCATTTGTCAGATGGGCTGAACATAATACAAACTAGAAGGAACTAACTCACTGTATTTGACAAGCTACCTGTGAATTCACTTACATTAAATAGAGGATGGTATTGCCTTTTCCTTTGTTTTTTTTGTTTTTTTTTTTCCCCAAGACAACTCTAACATTTTTATTCTTTCTGGATAGCTGAATTTCCAGATAGCATGGAGCTGGTGAGGATCTCCAACATGTGAAAAATGAAAACACACAATGTGAAAGTGCCTAGGATAGGATGATAGGAAAAGTCAGAGCAGAATGTAACAGTGGAGAAAGCACAAATGCAATGCCTGGGTTCCATGATACACACAAATATGAGGGAAAATGGTGGGAGGCTAAACAGCATAGTTTCATGTAGCTATTTTATATTTTGAAATAATTTCAGATTTACCAAAAAATTGCAAAACTAATATAGTTTATGCATACTCGTTATCCAGATTTCCCAGCTGTTAATATATGACCACATTTGCTTTATATCCTCTTTTCATTCTGCTTTTTTCTTTTTTTCCCAGAAATCTTTTTATTTAAGGTACACAAACTTCATATATTTCATAAATACAACATCAGGGGCATCCCCCCTCTTCCTCCTCCTCCCTCTCTTGTTCTCATTTTTTACTAAGATCTATTTTCAATTAATTTTATACACATAAGATCAACTCTGTATTAAGAGTTCAACACATTGTATCAAAGAAAGAAAAACTGTTCCTCAGCAGTGGAGACAGGGCTGTTCATCTCAGAGTCAATTTCACTCCTACAGGTTACCTTCTAGGTGCTCTGTTAGCTACCACAGACTGGGGAGAACACATGGTGTTTGTTCTTTTTAGACTGGCTTATTTCACTAAGTATGATGTTTTCCAGTTTCATCTGTTTTGTTGCAAAAACAGAATTTCAGTTTTTTTCCTCTGTGTAGAATTCCGTGGTGTACATACCCCATAATTTCTTTATCTGGTCTTCAGTTGATGGGCATGTGGGTTGATTCTGTGTCTTAGCTATTGTGAATTGAGCTGCAATAAACACGGGATAACTCTTTCATATGCTGATTTCATTTCCCCTGGTAAACTCCCAGGAGTGGATGGCTGGGTCACATGGAAGGTCTATATTCAGATTTCTGAAGTATCTCCCTGCTGTCTTCCACAGTGGCTGTACCAGTTTACATTCCCACCAACAGTGCGTTAGGATACCTTTTCCCCCACATCCTCACCAGCACTTGTTGTTGATTTCTGTATGAAAGCCATTCTAACTGGGGTGAGGTGAAAACTCATTGTGGTTTTGATTTGCATGTCCCTGATGTCTGGTGATCCTGAACATTTTTTTCATGTGTCTGTTGGCCATTTGGATTTCCTCTTTTGAAAACTGTCTGTTTAAGTCCTTGGCCTATTTCTTTACTGTGTTGTTTGTTTTGTTGTTGTTGAGTTTCTTGAGTCTTTATATATTCTGGTTATTAATCCTTTGTCAGTTGCATAGTTTGCAAATGATTTCTCCCATTCTGTCAGTTGCCTCTTCACTTTGCTGAGTTTTTGTTTTGCAATGCTTGCCCTTTTCCTTCTTTTCATGTGGATCCAGACTCAGAGGCTGGAGCGTGTGTTCCATTGTCGCCAGCTCCTCTGTGCTGCTCTCTGGAGCACTGCCCCGGCACCCTCGTCGTGAGGTTTCTGAGGGGTGCAGTCTCATGACTTTGTAGGATGCCCCTTGGTGGTGCTCATCGTGTGCTGCTTCGTGACGAGATTGGAGTTGTATAGTTTTAGCAATACTTAGATGTGAGGCTTTTGTTGTTTTGTTTTGTTCTGTTTTTTGAGAGAGCATGCTTCCCTCTGCTAGCTAACTCTGCAAATGCTCACAGTAGCCAGGGCCGGGCCAAGCCAAAGCCAGGAGCCAGAAACCTGATCTGGGTCTCCTGTGTGTGTGGAGGGGACTCAAGTACTTGATGCCAGTGTCCCAAGTGACAGCCTGCCCGCCGCACCACAGGCCTGCCTAGTGGGATTTTGTTTTGTTCAGAGACAGAGACCTCCCATCTGCTGGTTCAGTTCCCCTAATGATCTCAACAGCTGGGACTGGGCCAGCTGAAGCCAGGAACTCATTCTGGGTCTCCCAGGTATGTGGCAGGGCCCCAGCTGCTTGAGCCATGATCTGCTTTCCAGGGTCTGCATCAGCAGGAAGCTGGAAACAGAAGCAGAGCTGGGCTTCAGACTCACGCACTCTGATAATGAGAAGCAAGCAT